AGCTTTGTAGCTATATTTCTTTGTCATGATACTGAGTCAAGACTGACATGAGCCATCTCTTTCAAGCAAATGGAAAACACTGTTGCCAGTCGTTAGGAGATTGTGGTGCTCTTGGTGAAACTGCTTTGGTGGTGGTGACAGTGATCTTGGGATTGGGGAACAAGGGCTGGGACCTTTTCAGTCTACCTGCCTGAACAAAATCCATGCAGACAAAAACAAGAATTCCCCATGTTGGCTTCATATCACTCTATAGCATGTTCACCTCTCCAGCCAGTAGTGACACTCTTTAAAGTATTCTGTTTCTTCATGCAGATTCCTTAGTCTGCAGGGGGCAAAAGTATTCTGTTGCCATTTTTCTACCTGGCTATTTTTCTCAGATCTCAGGTCACAGTGGGCAGGGTGAATAGATGAGCCCCTTGTTTCTGTGTCTCCTAGTGGTTCCTGGACCTTCCCAGAGTGAGGTAACAAGAAGAACTTACCTGGGATTATCAGCCTCTTGTCTTAATCCATCCTTTGCCTTTGTCTCAAGTTGTGTATGGTTTTCTTCTCCACTCAATTCTGGTTTTACAAGACTCTGACTGTGCCATTGTATTAATCAAACAATGATAAGTCACCTTCTAAATTCAGAAAACAAACTGAGCTGGTTGTTCCCAGGAAACGGAAGTTTTTTTCCTGTGTTGCTTCAACTGGAAAGCTAAGAGGAGGAGGTGGGGAAGGTCCATAGTGGGAAGTGGATACTGGCTGGCCTGACTCTCAGACTGGAACACGGGTGGGGCAGAAGAGTTGGGTTTCCTCTTGAGAGGTGAGGTGAGAAGTCCTTTGAGGATAGAATAGCTCAAGCCCGCCTTCAAACCTGTTCTTCGGTTTCATTTTTGTGGTCCTGTATCTGTGTTTCTAAGGACAAAAACAAACAAACAAAAAAACTATACAAGTCCTACAAGATCAAATGCATTGATAAGGATGAAGAATTTCTGCCATTGAGAAGTGGCATTACTAACTTACTCCATGTTTCCCTTGGGTGACTGAGATAAAGCAAGCCAGACTCAGCTTTAAAGGAAGAAACCTTTACTTTGCCTAGGCAGTATTTGCACTATTTGCTCACTCTCAAGACTACATGAGTAGGTGTGATCACCAACACCTGAGGAGCCTGCCTCCCACTGGAATGTCATAAAATTCTTTGGTGGCAGGAAGTGTGTGATTGCTGGGCAGATAAAGAATGAGGGCAAAGGGCAATGCTGACACAGTGATGTGTTCCAATGTTGTGTCATTAAGGTGGGCAGAGCCAGGTGCTGTGGCATCTTATGGCACAGATTCTGAGGTCCTGTCCACTTGGATCCTCCTTCCTGTGGTGACCAATGTAGGTTGTAAGTCCAGTTACTTAGAGTAATAGGATTTGGTGGCTGTCAAAGGTAGCAGAAGCAGGTATTAGTGAGTGAGGTAGGGTGACCATCCCTCTCCTACTAATCTACAAGAATATCTCATTAGTGTCCTTGGATTTCAAAAGTATTATCATATGTCAAGATCTAGGTTAGCCTACGCATGCCCGAAGGTGCTAACACTGGATTATTTCCAACACTGCAAAAAAAAAAAAAATCTATGTATTTTAAAATTAAATGCTGTTTCAAGTGTGCCTTTCTCCTAAGAATATCGTCAACAATTTCATTTGTGAGGACAGGAAACCTCTTCAGCTGTACTGAGATTTGTGTTTGAGCACATGGAAATCTGCCTCAGCCTGTATTTTATAAAGTTTGCTGTGGCCAGTGTAGAAACATTGCAGCCTTAAAACTTCCTGCGCCATTGTTGAGAGCTTGAGGAGGTTCTGAGCCTGCTTTGACTTTGACACAATCTCTTTGACTTTGACATGTATGTTGAGTATCAATAAAAGATGCAGAAGATCCTCATACTCAGCCTAGGTACATGGCATTTGTCAGTGAACTATGCCTGTAAATATTTAAATAAAACCTAAATGTGGGTCTTCTTTTTGAATTACATCTTTTGGAATAACTTTTTCATCCCTTTTTGATATATATATATTTTTTTATTCTTGCTAGTTCTAGTTTTCTTCTTGAGAGGGTGAACTCAGGACCTTGGGCTTGATAGGCAGATGATCTAGCACTTGGACCAATGTCTCAGACATTTTTACTTTAGTTATTTTTCAAATAGTCCTGAATTTACGCTGAAGCAAGCCTGAACTATGGTCCTTCTGTGTACACCTCCATGTAGCTGGGGTGACAGACATGCTAGCTTTTTTATTGGCTGAGATGGCATCTTGTGAATGTTTTGCCTGGGTTGACCTCAAACTGTGATCCTTCTAATCTCTGATCTTCTAAGTAGCTGAGAAGGAGTGACCCACCATGCCTGGTTTATTATTTTTTGTGTGTGTGAGGGTTTGTGGTTTGAGTTTTTCTTTATTTGCTTTAAACCTGAACTGTTGACTATTTTCATTGAGGTACTAGTACATTAGTCATTCTATATGTTTCTTAGGAAATTCTTTTTTTTTCTTTAAGAAGTATTATTTATTATTTTTAGTTTTTAAGTAAGTCAGTGTACTGTACTCATGTTCCTAGGTATGGTATTAATTAGGCTTCTATTTGTTTTACCACACATTTTTTAATCCATTTTACTTATATACAAATGTTAATTAAATATGTAGAGAAAAATCTTCATCAACTAGGTAGATCAAATGCCAAATATAAACCAATAGCCATTTTTGTATATCCTGAATTACAGTTAACTTGCTGAAATATGTCTGCTAAGGTTTCCAGGATAGAAATCTGTCATTTACAATTTCTTTTGTTAACTTTAGCAAGTTAATACATTTAATAGTGCCATACTGAAATGAACGGAGACATTAATTTGAATTAACACTAAATATATTTTACAGTATCTTTAAAACCACCAGACTGTCTGATGTAAAGATTATGTATCTAATAGATTGAATACAGTTCTTGATAGATGAGTTGATAATATCACATTCCACCTTCATAATTAAGAATCAAGAGTCTATTCTCATTCAACAGCTTCTTTAAGGATGAGTAAACATGATCTTAATTAATCTCACAGACAATGCTAGGGGAAGCTGATTGCTGCAGTAAGGAAATGATGCAGCCTGACCTTAAGAAATGATAAATGTGGGAATGTTGACAAATGATAATAAGCAGCAAACATCCAGGAGAAGATTGGCTCCCAAATCAATATTGCTGGAACAATCTGGGTTTAGGTATTAATATTTAGAAATGTTCCTTTCTAATAGCTATATGAACTCAGAAATGTGGCAAGTCTTATACTTACAGGTCAAGTGAGCATTCCTGTTTTTGAACTTGGTATAATAGTAGCCTCTACTAAATAAGGATGGAACTCGTGTGTGTGTGTGTGTGTGTATGTGTGTGTGTGTGTGTGTGTGTGTGTGTGTACTGGGGTTTGAACTCAGGCCTCAGGGTCTCATTTATTTGGTTTTTTGATATTTGGAGATAAGAATCTCCTACTTTGGGCTGGAAAGGTGGCTCTGGTAGAGTGCTTGCCTTGCATGCATGAGGCGCTGAGTTCAATTCCTCTGCATCCAACCACGTAAGCAGGGAAAAAAAAGCCGGAAGTAGCACTGTGGCTCAAGTGGTAGAGTGCTATCCTTGAGCTGAAGAGCTGAGGGACAGTGTTAAGGCCCAGAGTTCAGGCCCCACGACCAGTTCCCCCCCCCCCAAAAAAAAGAATCTCATACTTTTCTGCCCAGGCCATGACGATCAGATCTCAGCCTCCTGAGTAGCTAGGATTACAGGCGTGAGCCACCAATGCCCCAGTTACAGTACATTATTAATTATTTTTTTTTCTTTTTGGTGCTCATCTTGGGACTTGAACTCAGGGTCTGGGTGCTGTCCTGAGTTGATTTTTGTTTGTTTGTTTGTTTGTTTTTGTTGTTGTTCAAGGCTAGAATTCTACCATTTGAGCCATAGCTCTACTTCAAGCTTTTTGGTGGTTAATTTGGAGAAAAGAATCTTAGGGACTTTCCTGCCCAGGCTTGCTTCAAACCATAACCTCAGTTCTCAGCCTAGGATTATAGTCATGAGGCCCCAGCACCCAGCTTGCAGTACATTCTTAATGACAACAGGTAGGAGAGCCCTGACCAGTACTGTCACAGGTGAACCAGAGGAACTCTACTGCTGGGTTTTATCACTATTTCTAACTATTGTACTGATGGGGAAGAATAAAATGAAAATGAGATGTCTAATTCACCATCATTGGGTCTTGTATTTGACTTACTCTTTGAGGCTTGTGAAAGTTACTTTGAAATTAATTAGCCATTTTTATAGTTTTCTACTGACAGAAACAGAATATCACCTTGTGTTGTATTTAGTAATTAACGTTTATGTACAGGGTACTAGCTACTCTGCTTATGCAGTATGGCCATCACCATTATTTTAATACACTGGTATCTGTTTTTGGGATTCTGAAGCATGAGCCTTAGCAAGGAATTTGAATGTAGTCTATAAGATGAAAAATGAATGAGTGGTGAGGTATATTTATCTTTGGCATCGGCTGTTCTATTGACAAAAGGCACAAATATGAAATTTGTCTAAATAATTAGATTTTTAATTAGTGCATCATTGTAAGATTAATGTCACTGCACTTCATTGCATGTAATTTTCTATTAGAAATTTCATGTCAACAAAGATGCTACCTGTGGTTTGCTGATTTGAATTCTTAATTTATCACTTGTGTGTATGGCATGCTGTACATTTGCAGATGCAAACAGGAGCTGAAAGGAGGCATTTGATTATAGCTCCACTGGTGGTGAAGAATATTGATGATGTTATACTATATGAATACATTATGTTTTCTGATATTCAGGAGACAGGCATCCCTCAATGATTAGTGATCATATTGTAATTTACAATAATGTTAGCAACATCATGACTAGATATGGAAGTATATACCAAATACATACATACTTGAGCAGTGTTGGTGCTATTCTCCTTTTAAAATTTGTTTTTCTTTTCTTTTGACAGTTGCCGAACAAGTAACCGGAAAAGCTTGATAGGCAATGGCCAGTCACCAGCATTGCCTCGACCACACTCACCTCTCTCTGCTCATGCAGGTAAGCCATTTTTCTTTCTTGAGTTCTGTCTCATTTCTTTTGTTCGGTTTAAAAAAAAAATCAGGCCTTCTGGGTCTTAGGGGTGTCTTTGCATCTATCTGGTATTCTTATTGCTTTGTTTCTAAATTGTTCATTCTGAATTATAGAATTCCTTTCTATATGTGATTCTGTTTCAGTTAATTCTTCCTCCATTTCTAGATTATGAGGTGATGCAAGGTATGTTCTTATATTAGGAATACCTTCTGAAAATGTAGATAAAATAGTTCACAGGAAGAGGATAAGTGTTTAGAATTGTTCAGCACATTTCTTTGTAAAACTGAACTTGACTGAGATAGCCATTGTGGGAGGATAAAGACTAAAGAGGTGAAGCTTTGAGCCTCAAAAGCACAGTACAAAAACTGTCCAGTGAAGACTGCTTTGTATGCTGTTGGTTTTATTTTTTTTTAATTTCAAAGTCGATCAAAGTGATGCAAAAAAGTAACTTCCAATTAGGAAATTTTGGGAGTGTGAAGGAGTAATTTCCCCAAAATATTGAAAGATGACTATAATTTGGACAGATAGAAATGGTTCAAAGAGCTTTGAGATGGATCGCCATTGTTTAAGAGAACATAAAGGTGGAAAAGAAAATCGAGGTCATCGATAGAAGGAATTTTGACCTGAGTGTTTTTTCACGACCAAGAGGAAGATCAGTGTTGAAGGAAGGATAAGAAATCAAGAGAATAGACCTAGTTTATGGCCCTCTTCATAAACACTTGAGTTTGACTTGGTAGGCTTTCACGTGGTCTTGATTTGTTTTATAGTTAATGCCTGCTTGTCACTGTCCCTCCTCAGGAAGTTCTGAACTTCTGGTGGTCTCAGATGCATGTGAGTTGTCTGTTATGGTTGGCATAGAAGGGAGAGAAAAGTCATCGCTCACATTTTACTTTAGTAAAAAGTAAATAGTGGTAAAGTAAAAATGCAGAAGATCAAGTGACAAAATGATAGTATTGTAAGTTGACCACTAGTGCCCAGAAATGCTTTAAAGAATGTCTAGTATGTGGAGACATGCTTAAAACTCTGCACAGATGCATCTTGGTGATGGTTGACCATTCCAAATAACCTAAATCTCAGTTGGTTTGGAACGAGGTAAAAAAAACTAAGGCATAGTCATACAGAGAAAACAAACTATCTCTTAGCATCTGTATTAGCATATAGGAAACTCAAATATAGTGTTGAGTGGCAAAAGCAAATTATAAAAGAATATTGTATAAATCATATAAAGTTAGTATGGTTCTACATACAATATTTTGTTTGGGGGTATATATAAATTATATTCTATGCATTATAATAAATACCAATGTTCTACATATCAATTGTATATACTTACATGTATATATTTGTAGTGAGAATTTAAAGAGAGAGAGGGTAATTTTAAAGACCAGCTTTATGATAGTTACTTCTGAGAGGTGGGGGTGATGGGAATAGGGAAGGTTGAGCCTGGATGGTGTTCTAGTTTCCAAGCTGTGGAGTGAGTACACAATTACTTTCATTGCTACTATTTATAATTTTGAGGTTTATTACATCATTATCATATAGTAGATATCTATAGAGTGGAAAACAAAGATAAATGTCCTATTCAAGGACTGGAATTATAGTTTTATATGACTATGACGTTCGTTTCTTTAACACCCAGCACAGTACAGTGCCTGGCTGTATTACTAGGCTGAGGCTGAGTGAATATTGACTCTTATATGTGAATCAATAGTGTGTGGTGTGTGTGTGTGTGTGTGTGTGTGTGTGTGTGTGTGTGTGTGTGTGTGTGTGTGTGTACATGCCTACCCTGGGGCTTGAACTCAGGGCCTGGGCATAGTCCCTGAGCTTTTCTGCTCAAGCCTAGCACACTACCACTTGAACCACAGTTGTACTTGTAGCGCTCTTTATTTTGGTGGTTAATTGGAGAGAAGAGTCTCACCGAGTTTCCTGCCTGGACTGGCTTTGAACCACAGTCCTCAGCTCTCAGTCTTCTGAGTGGCTAAGATTGCAGGCATGAGCCATCGGTGCTCAGCGTAGTTCTTGTCGTAGTATTTTATAGTAATTTCCTCATCTCTTATTGTTTTGTAATGACTTCCCATCCTTTATGTGCCTGTTGATCAATCTTTTATTGCTGTGATTTTCTTCAGCTTTAATATTGAACAAGGAAGAAAAATGTGGTTAAGACTTTAATGATCCTTTAAATTATTTCTCTCTTCTCTACCTAGTCTTAGCATGAATTCTTTTCCCTTCAACATTAATTTTAGAACCAATCAAAGGAATGGTCAGGATGAAACCTATTTTTCAGTCTATACAAGTTTTTTTTGGTTTTTTTTTTTTTTGTTTTTTTTGAGAGAGTGGGTGGTGTAGCCCATGGTAGCCTCTAACATTCTAAATTGTGATCTTCCTGCTACAGCATTTAGAATTCTCTCAGACTTTTTTTTATATGTAAGAAGTGGTATTCATCATTTACTAACTGGTAGACTCATATTTCTGTGTGGAAAAAAAAGAAAATGTTAATTCAATATGAGGCTATTAAATGATAGGCCCTTCTTCATGTCTGAGTAATCTGCCATACCATGTTATTTGCTGAACCTTTACCTCTTCCCCCCATCCTGTCACCATGTTTCCTATCCTGTGTTAGGTGCAGAGGGTTAGGTGAAAATTCCTAGCTATTTCCATGAAAATAACATAAAGAAAACCTACCATCTCTTGCCACAAATATACCCAGAAGATAGCTTACTTCTCTCTTTTCCATAGGGAAGGATATTTCACACCCTGCCACTCTTCACTGGCATGAGTCTCCACACATCCCGGCCCGGGTAGAGACAGCACATTCATTATTTGTGTAGGTGTGTCAGGAGAGCTGGGCGGCTGTTGGCATGGTGTTCTGAAGCATGTCTTCACATACGAAATGGTGGTTGTGAGAAACTGCTAATAAAACAGTCAACAAGACGGTTCCATTCAACAAAGAAAGACAGAAAACATCCACAGGATCCTAGTTCCAGGAATATTCTAAGCATGAAATATAATCCAGAAATTTTAAGAGAAGACTCCCGACTTTCCCCTAAAATGAAAGTTTCTATAAAATAAATCAAAGTGTGAAAAATAGTTTTATGCCTATCAGATTGTCCAAAAGCACAAAGACCTTGAGTAAATTGATGTGAAATAGTAGATGGACTAATAGAAAGGTGAGGAAAAGGTTTCAATAGCATGTCATAGCAAAAATGGCCAACAAAAGCATACAAAATGCTGCTTCACTGCAATTCTAAGGGAAATATGAGCCAGGAAAGTGCACTGGCATTATTTACCTATAAAACAATAATAGGAAGGACACGAGGAAAGCTGGACTTCTACAGGACATAAGTGTTGGTGAAAATCAAGATAGCCCATGATAAACCATAGTGGTTTACCGTGTTGGTTAAAAGTTCAAATGTGTTAAGAGGCACCAGTGGCTCACACTAGCTAATCAGGAGGCTGAGATCTCAGGCTCATGGTTCAAAGTAAGTCTGAGCAGAAAAACTCTGTGAGACTCTTATCTCCATTTACCGACCAAAAAAGCAGAAGTACAGCTGCTGATGAAGTAGTGGAGTGATAATCTTGAGCCAAAAAGCTAATGGACAGACAGCGTCCAAGCCTTGAGTTTAAGCCCTAGTTCTGGAATGTTTTCACACACACACACACACACACACACACACACACACACACACACACACACACGGAAGGAAGGAAGGAAGGAAGGAAGGAATGAAGGAAGGAAGGAAGGAAGGAAGGAAGGAAGGAAGGAAGGAAGGAAGGAAGGAGGAGAAAAGGGAAAATTCAAATCTGTTTACCCTTTGGCCCAGGAAATGTATAGAGGAGAATTTATCTTATAGATATTCTCATAAAATAAAAGGAAATTATAAAGGTAATATTGTAACTAGTAAATATAATAATAACAATGATACTGAAACTGTTATTAGTGTATTTTGTAACTTGCCTTTCAGTTGTGAACTGGTTAAATAAATAATAAATAAATAAATAATGTGAACTGGTTAAATAAATAATGGCATCTAATTCATCACTGCATGGTTATAAGGAGAATGGTGGGCTTTTGTGTAATCGTGTTGAGAAGATACCCAAAGAAACAGTGAAAAGGTACAGGTAGTAATTGCATGTGTGTGTTGTGTGTATGTGTGTATGGGCACATGAGTTGTGGAGTGTGCACACACAGCATATACTTATGTATTTGTGGATATGCATTGAGACTTTGTGCAAAGAGAAAGGGGGAAGGGCTGTTTACTCACAGGAGCGAATAGAAAGGTAGGAAAGTTAGCATATAGAGCTTTTATAATGGAAAATAAGGTTCTAAAAATAAATCCAAAAGAAAACAAAATATTTGCAGAGTTTTCTTGTTGCTATGAAACACATTACCAAAAAATGTAATGGCTTAAAGCAGATGCATTTATTAATCTTCTAGCTTTGTGGAGCAGAAATTCTGGGCAGGCATGCCTGAGTTCTTTGCTCAAGAGCTATTAAGTCCAGGATCAATGTGTTGATTGAGTGGAGTTCTTCTTTGGTAGCTGAGAAACTGTCTACTTCTGAGCTTATGCAGATTGTAGATAGATTCAAATTGTTGCCTTTGTAGGACTGAGGTCTTGATTTCCTCCTGACTGTCACTCAGGGCTGCTTTTAGCTTCCAAAGGTTGCCTACCATCATTTAGCCAGCCATGGCATACACTTCAGACCTGTCTTGTCCTCTTTGCACTAGCCAAAGTAAACTCTTTTAAAGAGCTCACTCTCAATCTCTCTCTCTCTCTCTCTCTCTCTCTCTCTCTCTCTCTCTCTCTCTTTCTCTGAATTTATCTTCGTCTCTCAGTAGAGGTTAGTACCTGGGTTTGAACTTAGGATATTATACTTACTAGGCAGGTGTTCTGCCACTTGATGCACATCTCTAGCGCATTTTTTTCCCTCCTTCCCTCCCTTCCTCCCTCCCTCCCTCCCTCCCTCCC